GGATGTTCTTGGTTGTTGGTATTTTTTTTTTTTTTTAAGAGAGATTTCTGCTATAGGGTATGTGCGTTCACAGAGATAGAAAGTGAGAAATAACCCCCTCCCCCCTGCCCCCAGCGGATGGCCATGCCACGGTCCCGTCCCTCTGTTCTCCTCTCAGGATTTTGGGCATGCAAGCATACGTGCCTGGCATGAGTTTTAGGCCGCCGAGTCCGGAACTTGAACCATGGTTGATTAGGTGGGAGTCCAGTTATGTAACCATTATGCCAACTGCTGATCCCATTTGTTGGTGTTTTTAAAGGAGGAGACTTTTTTTTTTTTTGGAGAGGTTTTTGCTATAGGGTGCGTGCGCTCGCTCGCCAGAGAGAGAGAGACAGAGACAGAAAGTGAGAAATCACCCCCCAGGGGGGATGGCAACGCCGCCCGCAGTCTCCACTCCATTCAAAGGAGGAGACATTTTATCTCTTTTAAAACCACGAAGATATTGTTACCTGCGTGGCTAGAGCCTGAGACATGCTTATGTTATCCTTGGTGAGAAGATTCAGCAAAGATTGGAGCACTTGATAAAAAATCTAACACTAAGCTAAATTTTGTCCTTAGGAGTCAAAGAATGCAAAGGCAGTAGGGGAGAGTGTCAAGGCGGAGCGATCTGCCTGCTGTTTGACCTGCTTACTCCTGGGGTCTGTGAACTACTTGGTCACCTTATGTAGTACCTGGGTGTAATGTGCAGTATTTTAGCAGAGCCTGCTTTAGCATAAAATTCATTGCTTTGGTTCACCTTGTAACTTGTGACAGTGAACCTAGAATGTTTCTATGTTGTTAGATTGAGGATTTTGCATTACTAATTTACAGAATCAGCACTGAAAGAAAATTGAGTGAAAATAGAACAGAGCATCATGCTAGTGTCATGTCTAACCTGTTCTCAGAAAGTTCTCTTGTTGGCCAAGGTTATTTATAACCCAGAGTTGAAAGGTATGGCTCACTTTTTCTGCTTGGGCCGTGCTCTCAACAGATTTGGCATTCTCCGTACTCTCCCCTATTTTAAAGAGGTCACCATCTTAAGAGTTGTGGCCCAGTGCTACGCACCCAGTTGTAGGAGCATCTGACATATTGTATGGCCATGAAACCTAGGCTCAGGCCCGTTGTAGGTGTCGGCTTCTGAGTAGCAGCATCAGTGACCGTGGGTCATACTTAACTCCATGGGACATGGTCGCAGTGCTGTTGCTCTCTGGTCCTTGCATCAAGACAGAAACGGTGGGGTGCCTGAATCTCGGTGAGATACCCTGCTGGGACGTCTGGAAGCAAGAGATGGATAAAATTCCAGCAGAGCTTAACGTGAATGTCATGTACCTGTGGCTTTTAGAAGTGGATTACTATCACCAGGTAACTTGTTTTCTACTGCTGCATGAGAAATGTCAGGATTTAGCAGTTGTACACACTGCTGGATCAGCCCCCAGTGCCGCGGGGTGCTCTGGCTCCGGGCTCTCCGCAGGCTGCGGGCAGGATAGTGGCTCAGACCACACTCATCTCGGACCTGGCAGTGAGCTGCTCCCAGGCTCACTGGGAGCCAGGGGGCTGTTGGCAGACCTCCAGTCCTGGCTGGCTTTGGCCGGCGACATGAGTTCCTTGCCATGTGAACCTCTCCAGGAGGACTTCTTAGAATAAGGCAGCTTGGTTTTCATGGTGCGAGGGCTCCAAGGTGGGAAGCGACAGAGGAGTAAGACAGAAGTTGGTCTTTGTAGCCTAATTTTGGAATGATGTTCATCACAATTGCACTGTTTTGTTGTTAGAAGTGAGATACTAAGTTCAGCCCAGTCACGGAGGACAAGGACAGGCAAATCAAGAGGCAGGAATCACTGGGACCACCCTACCTATTGCCATTTTGGGGTATTACCTGTCCACTTGATTTTCTTTGTTTTCTTTTTAAGAATTATTTAACTTTATTATTATTTTTCAGTTTCATCAAACCGGGGTGGGGAGTGAGAAAGCAAGCCATCAGGTCCGGGACTTGAACCGTGATTGGCCATGTGAGAGTCCTGCGCCCTTAACCACCACACCACCTGTTGGCCTAAAATACCTGATTTCCTAAGGAGGAAATAGCCAGGCAGTTTGATGTATCATTATCTCTGCTTCTTCAGAGAACCTAGGATTCTTCATTGAATTCACTATTGTGTACGTTTAGTTTGAGAAGGAGAGGTGAAAGAAGATCAAGGAGGGCCTCTAGGGCTGTGCCTTTTGACAAGTAGTGGAACATACCGAATCAGACTCCCTGGGGGCTCAAGTTAACGCCTAGTGGTGGCCTTAGTTTACTGGAGGGTACTGCAGGAATTAGCGGCACTAGAGGAAAGTTCATACATGTTCTTCATCTCGAGTGTTGGAAGCTCTGACTTAGGACTTGATGGATACTGCTCCGCTCACAGACACCATGAGCAGGAGCCAGGATGGCTTGAGGACCAGCACATTCTCATCAGCGAACAATTCACAGGCAGCGATAGTTATTCTCCATCTGGTTCTGGCTGCTGCTGCTGCTTTTTTGGGTTATGATTTCTCAGCAGAACAACATTTTAGCAAATTTTAAGACTCCATAGTGGAGCTGGCCCATAGCACAGTGGTTAAGTGCTATGCCTGGAAAAAAGGCTCCCACGTGGTCGACCGTGCTTTCGTTCTGTCTGGAAAGCTCATGTACCCACTAGTAATAAATTTTAAAAAATCAGTATGGAAAATTAACAGACAAGTAAGCATAATAGGTGAGAATTAATCTTGTTATTATCATCTCATTTAAGGTTTCTTTCATATTTACATTCAGTTACACGTTTGTATTTTTTTTCCCCAGAAGGCACATGTGTTCACCAGAGAGAGAGAGAGGGAGAGAGAGAGAGAGAGAAAGCACCTCTCAATGGGATGTGGTCAAGCCACATCTCTCTATCCTGCTGGGATTTGGGGCACACACGTACATGCCCCCGGTGTGGTTTTCAAGCAGCTGGGTCTGGCCCTTGATCCATACAGTTGTTCAAGTGGGATCCAGTTTCCTTAACCACCAGGCAGTGGGCTGGTGCTTACAATTCTAAATAATTCTCGAATCTCCCTACTTGTCTTCGTTCTAGTCAATAACCGCTGTTGTTGAGGCTTCTGTTGGTCTACTCAGAATTATTGCAACCTGACTTCTAATTAAATTCTTTCCTCCAGGGTGATGATTCCTCAAGCCATTCTCCACCTTGTTAAAAAGTGCTCATTGTGTTTTAAGATAAACTTAAAGCATTAACATACCGTAAAATGGACACATCTTGAGAGAGAGAGAGAAAGCAAACCCAAGTGGGGCTGGTCATGCCACACCCTTTCTCCTCCATGTCTCCATCCAGTCAGGATTTGGGGTACACAGGAGCATGCACTCGCTGCAGTTGGCCCCTTGGTATCTTGTTCCTAGTGCATGGTGCTTGCTTAACCACTGCACTGCGAGGCTGGCCTGTGCCAGCTGCCTTGCCTTAGCAGATGTTTGTGAGACTGACTAGTTACTTTATGTGTGTGCTGCCCACCCGTTGGCTGCGTTATTCCGCCTTACGGCATTCAGGTTCCCGTTCACTGGTGAAGAAATGTGGAGTTTTTTTTCCTAACCAATTGAATTTTATTTGTTGTATAAGCTAGCCAACATCTTTCAGCTAAAAAAAAACAAAACAAAACAAAACAAAAAACAAACAAACAAAAAAACATTATATTTGAGCAAAGATTACAGAATGAATTAGAACCCCACTAAAATTTGCTTTGGGGAGAGAACACCACAATTCTACTTAATTAAAAATATTTTTTTGTAGACCATAGTTTGTTTATTTTTAACACCCATCATGCCATGAATTCATAGGGGATAGGTTCAAGAAACTCGTCTCCTTTTCATTGGTTTTCACGAAGTGTGCTTCTTGGGTGGAGAAAGCCAAAGGCTGGTGCTTCAGTGAAACCCAGGTCCCTTTCTCTGGCTTTCTTCTCTTTCTGGTCATTTCCCCCCACACGTTTTTAGGAAACTGTCTCTGTTCTTAGAAGGCTTAAGCTCAATATGCACATTTATTCTCTTGGCAAAAATCTTGCTTTTAACTTATTTGCAGCAATGCCAACAGCATGTTGGGTCACACTGTAGACTCTGCAGTTTTGCCACAGTGACATTTGTGGTGCATTCCTTTCTGAACAGTGCCCATTCCCTTGGTGTCTACACTATCACCTTTCTTGTAGATTTGCGTGAGTGTTGTCAGAGGAAGCACTCTGGGTTTTCCCCTGGCAAGAATATATCGGGTGCCTCTCCTC